ATACTCTATTGCCATTCAATTTTCTCCAGAAATCTATCATATCTAACTTTTCTAAAATTCTATTCATCTCCTTAACTTGTTTCTTGTTTATTTTATGGTTAGATTTAGTTTTGAGAAGGGGAAGTTGAGACTCCCCACTAGGTATAGTTTTACTGTCTATTTCCTCCTGTAATTCATTTAACTTTTCCTCTAAGAATTTGAATGCTATGTGCCATAGCTATATGCTATTTGGTGCATACATGTTTAGTATTGATATTACTTCATTGTCTATGACACCTTTTAGCAAAATGTTGTTTGCCTGATTTTCTCTTTTAATTAGGTCTATTTTTGCTTTCACTTTGTCTGAGATCATGATTGCTACCCCTGGTTGGTTGGTTTGTTTGTTTGTTTTTACCTCAGCTGAAGCATAATAGATTTTGCTACAGTCCCTTATTTTTACTCTATGTGTATCTCTCTGTTTCAAGTGTATTTCTTGTAAACAACGTATTGTTGAATTGTTTTTTAATCCCTTCTGCTGCTCCTGTTTTATGGGTGAGTTCATCAAATCCACATTCACAATTATGATTACTGTGTATTTTCCTCCATCCTGTTTTTCCCCTTTCATCTTTCTCTCTTTTTACCTTGTCCTTCCCCTCCTCAAAAGTCTGTTTTGCTTCTCACCACTATTTCCCTTCATCTATTCTCCCTTCTTTTAATGCCCTGCCCCCATCCCCTTCCCCTCCTACTTCCCTATGGGGTAAGACAGATTTCTATATCCAAATGAGTATATATTTTATTCCCTCTTTAAACCAATTCCAATGTAAGGTTCAAGCACTGCCCACCACACCTCCCCCATTTTCCCTCCCACTGTAAAAGCTCTTCTTTTTGTGCCTCTTTCATGTAAGATAGCTCTCGCTATTCTTCCTCCTTCTCCCAATATATCCCTCTTCTTACCCCTTAATTTCATTTTGTCCCATCATAGTCAACCCACATTTGTGCCCTCTATGTATACTCCTTCTAACTGCCCTAATAATGATAAAGTTGTTAGGAGTTGTTAGAAGTATCTTCCCATGTAGGAATATAAATAGTTTAAATTTATTGAATCCCTTATTATTTCTCTTCCATGTTTACCTTTTTTATCCTCCCCTTGAGTCTTTTCTTTGAAAGCCAAATTTTCTATTCAGCTCTGGTCTTTTCATCAGAAATGCTTAAAAAGTCCTATATTTCATTAAATATTCATTTTTTTCCCTTGAAGGATTATACTCAGTTTTGCTAGGTCCTACCTTCTTTATCTTTTGGAATATCTAATATTCTAAATCCTCCAATCCTTTAATGTGGAAGCTGATAAATCTTGTGTGATCCTGACTGTAGCTCCCCAGCATCTGAATTGTTTCTTTCTGGTTGGTTGCAATATTTTCTTTTTCTTTTTTTTTGGTTGCAATATTTTTCTCCTTGACCTGGGAGCCTGGGAATTTTGCTATAATATTCCTAGTATTTTTCATTTTGGTATCTCTTTCAAGAGGTGATCAGTGGTGGATTCTTTCCATTCCTATTTTACCCACTGGATCTAAGATATCAGGGTAGTTTTCCTTGATAATTTCTTGAAATATCATGGCTAGGCTTTTGTTTTCTCATGGCTTTCAGGTAGTCTAATAATTCTTAAACTGCCTTGCTTCAATCTATTTTCCAGGTCAGTTACTTTTCTAATGAGATATTTCACATTTTCTTCTATTTTTTTTCATTCTTTCTACTTTTTATAAAAAATAGTTTCTTGATTTCTCATAGAGTCTTTAGCTTCCACTTGCCCAATTCTAATTTTGAAAGAATTATTTTCTTCAATGAGCTTTTATACCTCTTTTTCCATGTGGCCAATTCTGCTTTTAAAGAAGTTCTTTTGTTCAGTATTTTTGTGCCTTTTTTATCAAGCTGTTGACTCTCTTTTTATAATTTTTTTACATTACTCTCATTTCTTTTACCAATCTTTCCTCTACCTCTCTTATTTGATTTTGAAAATCCTTTTTGAGCTCTTCTAGGAATTCTTGTTGGGCTTGTGTCCAATTCACATTTTTTTTCTTTGAGTTTTACTTATAGGTAGGTGTTTTGACATCACTATCTTCTGAGTTTGTGTCTTGATATTCCCTGTCATCATATTTTTTTATAGTCAGGTACTTTTTTTATTGTTTGCCACTAACGTGCTCCTCTTGGCCCTGGAACTGTGACCAGGTCCCCTGCTCTCCTGAATCTGCAAGTGGTAGTGCTCCTTTCTGCCTTAGAACTGGCAAGTGATCAGGGCCCCTACTCCCTTGTAAGTGACCACAAGCACTCTTCTCTGCCCTCAAATTTTGACCAGTGCCTGCTCCCCAGTGCTCTCCTCCTCTCTGCCCTTGAACATCACCCCAGAACTGTGTCTAGGCAATGCAACAGGATTCTGAACTTTGCTGGTAGTGCCAGTAAAGGGTTCCCAGTATTTTCTTTCTGTTCAGTTGTCCTCCCTTCCCCTTACTATCTGTGGCCTAAGAGGTCCCAAAGCTGCTGCTGCCACCACTGTACAGCCCCCTCCAAGGCCTGCTGCTGGCATTACAGTAGCCCAACTACCACTCTGATGAGACAGACCTTTCCTGCCAATCTCCTAAGTTGTCTCAGGCTGGAAAAGTGTTTCACCTTGTTGGCTCCACCACTCCAGAATTCAATTTGAAGCATTATTTTAAAGTTGACTGTAGGGGAATGTGAGAGAGTTCAGGTGAATTCCTGCCTCTGCTCCACCATCTTGGCTTCACCTCTCATTGGAAGTTTTTAAGCAAAGGCTAGATGTCCACTGAATTCTCCACCAATTCTGATATAGCTGAGGAAGACAGTGCAACAGGACAAAGTCAGACCCTTGAGGATCACCACATTAAAAGGAGAAGGAAAGGTTACCTTTCCATTATGCCTCACTGTATGGCTGTTTGAAATCTAAGAATCAGTAGAGTAGCTTTGGGAAACCTAAATTGCAAGAAGTTGAGATGAGAGTAGTAAAGAAACTGAAGAATTGAGTGTAGAAAACTTTAGCAATATGTTTAGTAAGGAATGGAAGGATATAGATTAGAGTATCCATATATAATATAGGAGTCAACAGAACTGAGAAGACCTGACCATATTTACAGACAGATAGCAAGCAGTAAGTGGGGAAAGAGAAGCTGAAAATGCTTCTGGGGAAAGAGATAGAAAGCTACTAAAGGAGGGTTCTTTAGGAGGTAAGAAGTATTGGGGTAAAGGACACAGAGGGTAGTTAGCCTTACTGAGTGAGAAGTCTTCTGTGACCAGAGGGAAGAGAGAGTGGGTGAGAGCAAAGACAAGTTCTAAGGAGTAGCATTTACCTTAAGTAAATGCTACTTATTGTTTTAAGACTGACAAACTTCCAGAAAATACTCAAAAGGAATCAGGAAGACATGGATTCAAGTCCTCCCTCTGACAGGGCAGCTAGGTGGTACAGTGGACAGAGCACTGGGCTTAGAATCAGGAAAACTTATCTTTGTGAATTCAAATCTGGCCTCAGATACTTACTAGATGTGTGATCCTAGGTAAAGTGACTCAACCCTGTTTGCCTCAGTTCTTCATCTATAAAATGAGCTGGAAAAGGAAATGGCAAACCATTCCAGTATCTTTGCCAAGAAAACCCCAAATCAGGTCATGAGATTTGGTCACAACTGAAAAGACTCAACAACAACAAAAATGGCCTCTGTTACATTGTCTGTGTGACCCAAAGCAAGTCATTTAAAGTCTGAGTGCTCCAAGCAACTAAGACTAGAATTAGCAAAGAAGCTATGGACCCGCACTGGTAGAGGGCATTTCCTCTCCTTGGACTTCCCTATACTAGTGAAATGGCTGGTCCAGGAGAAAGGAAAAAGAAAAAAAAAGGAAAATTATAAGCAAGTTAACCAAAATCATAAACCTTTCATTCTCTCTTAATAATCTGTAGGTTCAGAGATCCTGTATGATTAAAAATCTTTTATATGAAGATGATGCTACTGACCCACTTTTTGGTAAGTTTTGAGTTTTGTAGTAATAATATTGAATTACAATGAATTGTCCATATTCTTCAAACCTGTGTGCCTTTAAAAGTATAGATTTTCAGGATGAATAGATACATGGCTGGGAGTGCCTTTGGGGGTGGGGAGAAAGAAGTGGTTTGTGGAACAGAGATTCTTTCCATACAAAGCTAACTGACCCTTAGGGGAATCAAACCCATAACCTTGGCCTTTGAAGTAGCTTATTCTAACCAACTGCTCTAACAGGCCCAAATCATATCTGATGAAGATAAGCACTCCGAAGTAGAAGCCTGCCCCCATAAAAATGCTAGAAGATAAGAATTTTACTAAGAGTGCTTTGGTCCCTTGCTTTCTATTCCAACCTAAATCTAACTACATACAGTAATTCAAACTACAAAAACAGAAGTTTAGTCTGATAGACCTTCCCTACATTATATGTTTCAACCAACAGAAGTTTTTAAATTGCAATTTTATTTGGATGTGGAATAATGCTTTAGAGACACACTAAAAATCTATTTTCCAAAGTAAGTATTCACAGGGCAACTAGTACAGTGCATAGAGCACCAGTCCTGGAATCAGGAGGACCTGAGTTCAAATCCAATCTCAGATACTTGACACTTACTAGTTGTGTGACCCTGGGTTTGTTACTTAACCCTGCCTGCCTCTACCAAAAAACAAAAAAAACAAAAAGAAAACACCACTCACAAAGTAAGTATTCATTAACATTAGTTTAGGGCTTAGAGCTTACGTTAAGACATCATCCATGCCCTATCTAAATCTGGCCTGCACAACATATGGCCCACTTGTGGCCCACCAGCCCACCAACACAGCCCGTGGGCACTACGTTGTACAAACCTGTTTTAGGTTCTCTACATTTTTCATGGGCTACCAGAAACCCCAAAATGGTAATTCCAAATCAGTTGGGTTTTATTTAAGAGTATTAAAAGGGCCTAATATATTTACTCAAAAAAGAATAAATTAAGAATAATTTACCTCAACAAGGACTCCAACAAAAGGTATGGAGGCTTCTTCATATTTGATGAAGAACAACTCTGGATTTGTCTTCCAGATACCAAGCCATTTGTCTTTCATCTTTAATTTTTCTGATAGGTATTTGCTCATTGCTTCAACAGCATCTTCTGCCTAGCACAAGCATAATGGAAGATATTAGTAACATTGTATTTATGACTAAATTTTATTGCTGATTTCCATTTAAATATAAATTAATGAAGGTGGAAAGGAACATTCTTTTTAAAGAAAAAGGAAATTTGTAGAAACAGAAATTTTCTTTAGAATTAAAACAAACTGGAAAGAGATCTATAAGCATACTACAGTACTTTGTAGATGTGCCTTTCACTAAAAACTGGAATATAGTACATTTATCCAGAAGCAAAATAATGTAATTCTAACTCTCTAAGTAGAATGACCATATAAAAACAAAACAAACAATCCTTTGCCTCAAACTAACTTTTGCAAAGGGCTATTTAATATTGAGAGAACTTTCCAAAAACTTTTTAGTATATGAAAATCTAAAGCGTCCTTTCATTTTATAAACACAAACATCAGCAACAGCCAAATTGTCTTGCTTTGATGGGAGCACCACAGGTTTAAATTTCAATTCAAGGATGACAAATGACTTAAGTTAAATAATTTTTTTTAACTTGAAAACATGTTGCTTTACAAATGACACAATAACTTACATACTGATATTTTATCAATTACTTTAAATATTGTTTTAGTATTCTTTTTTAGATTTACCTCAGTATCAAATGCATGTGGTTCATTAAAAAAGAGTATCTTAACTTCAAAGTTTTTATTGAAATGTTGTCCAGTATTCACTCCCACCCAGGATCACCATATAACATCTATGAGAACAGGAAAAAATCTAATTTTTTAGAAATATACACTACAAATATTTACCATCTAAAAACTAACTATTCCTAAAACAAGAATTTTGGCCCTGTTGCACACAAATCAAAACTGAACTTATGTCAATAAAGGTCCAACCAGGGCAGCTAAGTGGCACAGTGGATAGAGCATCTGCCCTAGAGACAGGAGAATCTGAGTTCAAATCCAGGCTCTGACACTTAACACTTAGTAGCTGTGTGACCCTAGACAAGTCACTTAACCCCAATTCCCTCACTCAAATAAACAAAGGCCCAACCTCTAAATATTCCGATCTAAAAAGAAGAAATAAAAATTCTAACAGTAACCCTAGATGCAGCAAATCAACAATGGCAGGAACACATGCCTTCAACTTTTCAGGACCACCAATTAGGAAAACTCTTAGCTAGGCAGCTCTTTACTTGTCCAAGTAAATTTCCACGCCTGTGGAAAAATAATGTAACAGACATTTTTTTATACTGCAATAATAATAGCAAAATTCATCATTTCCTACAGCACAATAACACTCAAAAGAGCAGAACCAAGATAATTATACAGTAACTGTAATATTATTTGATGAACCACTAAGTTATTCTAAGTATTATAAATACTCAAATTAACTACAAAGAACCTATGAAGGAAGATGCTATCTACCTCCAGAGAAAGAATTGATAAACTGAAGTAAAATATATGGGTATATGTGTTTATTGTGAGAAATGGTGGCCTTCTTTAGATCCGGGGTGGGAGAGTTGGGGGGGGGGACACACATAACAATTCTGAATTTAGAATGTAACCAAAAAAATTTTTATTTTATTATTATTTTTTGGTGAGGCAATTGGGGTTAAGTGACTTGCCCAGAGTCACACAGCTAGTAAGTGTTATGTGTCTGAAGCCACATTTGAACTCATGTCCTCCTGACTCCAGGGTTGGTGCTCTATCCACTGCGCCACCTAGCTACCCCTTTAATTTTTAAAAACAAAAAACAATAATAAATGCTAGTCCTTAAGGGCTTTACATATATCTTGTTTTATCCTTATAGAAATCCTGGGATTGAGGTACTATTATTACCCTCATTTTACTAATGAGGAAACTAAGGCAGACCAAGGTTAAGTGACTTGCCCAGGCTTACAAAACTTATAACTGGCCAGGGGCACTGTGCTAAACTCTGGGGATACAAAAAGAGGCAAAAGCCAGTCCTTGCCCTCAATCTAATGAGGGAGACAAGCAAACAATTACATACAAACAAGCTATATAAAGGAAAAATAGGAAATAATTGAGAGACAAGGCATTAGAATTAAGAGGGGTTGGGGAAATGCTTTTTGTGGAAGATGGGTTTTCAGCTGGACTTGAAGGAAGCTAGGAGGGAGAGATGAGGAGAGATATCATTCCAGGCATGGGGAACAGCCACAGAAAATGCTCAGAACCAAGAGATGGAGTGTCTAATACAAGATAGCCAGGAGGCCAGTGTCACTGGATCAAAAAGCACATGGTGAAGAGTAAGGTATAAGAAGACTGGAAAGGTGGGGGAGGGGACCATATTATGAAGGACTTTGAAAGCCAAACAGAACATTTTGTTTTTGATCCTGGAGGTGATTGAGAGCCACCAGAGTATACTGAGTAGGGGTTGGGGTGAGATGATATGGTAGGACTTGTGCTTTAGGCAAATCACCTTCAAGTCTCAGTTAAAGTCCCACATTGTATAGGAAGTCTTTCCCAATGCCCCTTAATTCTAGACCGTCCTTCTTGATGATCTCCAGTTTATCCTACCTATACCTTGTTTGTATATAGTTGTTTGCATGATGCCTTCTTCACTAAACTGTGAGTTCCTTGAGAACAGGGGCTGCTTTGTGCCTTCCTTTATATCCCCAAGGCTTAACACAGTGAGCTCCTGGGCAGAGAGTAAAGACTTAATAAAATCCTAGTTGACTGACTCCAGATCCAGTTTTTTATCCACTGTGGAGGGAGAATCAGCCTTGAAGTTTAAATCCAGCCCAAGGCACACACTTGAGCAAGTCACTTAACCTGTCTGCCTCATCTTCCTCATCAGTAAAATGAAGATAATAGCAGTAACTTGTTGGATCAAATGAGATATTTGTAAAGCCGTTTGTAAATTTTGATGTAGTCTATAAATATTAGGTATTACATATGATTGTTTCCATCCACCCACTGGGTCACAAAATCTCTGTGCCTTAGTATAACACCATGGGCCCCTCAGAATTCAGTTGGGTGACCTTGGGTGGGGGAGGGGGTGGTCCTGGGCTGGTCCATTTGAATTCAGCTTGGGTGGGTCCTGCCAGAGGCTGTATCATTCCCCTGGCACACTTGGCCATCTCCAGCAAGAAAAGGCATGAAGAGAAGGCAGCTGGTGACGCCTGGGAGTCAGGGAGACCAGGGTTCAAATGCTGCCTCCAACACTTACTATCAGGGCGACCCTAGGCAGGTGTCACTTAAACCTGTTTGCCTCAGTTTCCCTCAAATGTAAAATGGGGGGCCCCTCCAGGAGGGCTGTAGAGAGGCTCAGATAAGGTAATCCCGGTAAGCACTTAGCCGGATGCGGGCCACGCACCGTTGCCCGAGCCACGCCAGCCACGCCCGCCTCTCCCCCCAGGCCACGGCTGGGCCCAGGCCCCGGCCTCACCTTGCAGCCCTGCAACACCTGGTCGCAATAGAGCGCCACCTTCTCGTCGCGCCACATGGCCCTCATGGGGGACGCGCAGACGGGCGGCAGCGGCTGCGCCTCCTCCTCGTCTTCCTCGTGCACCGACAACAGGCCCTCCTCCTCCTCCTCCTCCTCCTCTTCCTCCTCCTCCTCCTCCTCCTCCTCCTCCTCCTCTTCCTCGCCCTCTCCGCCGGGGCCCTCGGCCTGGGGAATGGGCAGGAGCTGCTGCCGCCGCCTGGCCGCCTCCCGACCCGCTTTGCCCTTCGCGGGCCTCGTTGAGGCCACTGCCGACCGCACCGGGGACGCACTGCTTTTGGCGGCCACTTCTTCGAGGCCCGAGAAAGCGGCCTTCTCCCCGCGCCTCCCGGGGCTGATCACCACAGCGCAGTCCCCCGTATCGGTATTGTCGGGTCCCGACGCCATCTCGTCCCCAGCCTGGCCTCGAGGGAGAGCCGTTAGCCACTTTTCCCGCCCAGAGGAGAGCTGGCCAATGGGCACGCTCCCGGGCGCCGCAACGAGCGGCAGCGGCGGCGCGCGGCAGGATGGGGAGGGTCCGGCGGGGGGGGGGGGCAGCCACGTGGACTCGAGGTTCCCTCCCTTCCCCCCCTTCCCGACACCCGGTGCGCATGCACAATCCGCGCTCCTCCGCCAAGTCTCCGGAGCGGCCCCTGAAAGTGGTGACGTCATCTTGGAGGAGGCCTCAGCGACGCTGTTTCCTTTTTTTGACTGAGTGGGAGGTGTCGCATTGAATAAATGAAAATTTATATACACCCGCCAGGACCTGATGCCGCCATAGGCACACCCAAGCAGTACAACACAAACGCACACGGGGCAAGTCCTAAGAGTGTGGCCTCCATCCATTTCATCTCATTTTGGGCACATTTAAGCAGAACACTCATTTTCTACAGATACTTACAAATGACAAGAAGGAAAGGATAGAAAATTGTACTAAATCAAGCATTTGTGAAGTGTCTGGTAGGCCTGGGGACAAGGACAAAAATAAAACAAACAGCTGTCGTCCTCAAAGAGCTTAAATTGTAGGGAGGGGAGAGACAACAGGGATCCATAATCTATTCATCAAACTGAGGCCAGACCCTTAATGAATGACCCAAAAAGGGGTCACAGAAGAGCGACCGAACAAGAACAATATAGACGTGTATATGCACGTCAACGTGGATATCTGTACATATGTTGTTACGTGTGTTGTATGAATGCATTATGAGCTTGGGTATATACATATACACATATGGGGGTATATGTGTATATGTACATAGATATATGATGATATAGACATACACACATAGTATGAGTGGGTATATATATACATGTATACAAGCATATGTGTATATACACACAGGTATGTGTAAATACATAGTCAATGTATATAAAAGTATATAAAGGCATGTATGTATATGCATGTGTATATGCACATGTATATAAAGGTGTGTGTGTGTATATATACATACCTGTGTATATATGTATATGCATACGGTAGAGTATATGTATATACATTGTATATATTTGTATATACATATACATATTATGAGTATTTATGTATATACATCTGTATATATGTGTTTGTGTGTGTGTATACACCCATAAATATATGCAAACTGTATATCCTGCTGTGTATGTGACCTTGTGGATTTGGTTTGGGGTTCAGAAATATCAAGGTCATCTGTATTGGTAGACTCCATCTGGATAACAGCAGGCAGCTATTTCTGTCATGAGGATAAAACAGAGCAAAGAGAGGTTTTACAAGATTACCAAACATTAGTACAAACATTTGGCTTTTTCCCCCTTTCCCCTCTCAGAAGCTGAGGGCAGTGGAGAGGTAACAACCTATTACAAAAGATTAAGGCAGATGATGTGGTGGAAAGGATGTTTTTAGAAAAATCCCTAACTGGAAAAGAATGTGGCCCAGTGTTGTAGTGAGATCAAGGGATGACCAGTGGACAGCCCTTGCATCCCCTAAATATATCCAAAATATCAAAAGGACAGGGGAAGGCCCTAGCACGTTTGATGGACTCCTTGTGCAGTCCAAACAAAAGAGGAAATGAATGAAAGTGAGTTACATGGTCACATCAATGAGATCACAGATTCCCAATGGAGTATTGATATATAAGGGCAGTGAGTCTCAGAGAGGTTAAGTAATGATAAAATGATTTAGAGCAGGAAGGGATCTCAGAGGTTTTTAGCACATCCCACTAATTTTACTGAAGAGGAAACTGAGTCCCACAGGTATGAAGGGACTTTCCTGAGGTCATATAGGGAAGCAAATGCCAGAACTGGGATTCAAACCCAAGTCTTCTGAGACCAAATCCTATGTTCTTTCCACTATACCCTGGCCTCTTTCCCCGCCTCTATTGGGATGTACTTTACAGACGACTTAGAATTCTCACACTAAAGAATGACTGAGATTCCATACTAGGTCAGGAATTTTCAGCTGAGAACAGCCAGAGGAATGGTCTGGGACCACATTTGGAATTGAAAAATTTGTTCAAAGTAATACACCATGGAAAAGACACTGCAAAAATAAGTTCTGGTATTGTTTTCCTACTGAATGAGCGCTGTATTGGTTGCCACAATTTCTATTTACAATTTAGCAATGAAAACACTGGAAGTATTGACGTCACCGTAGCATATTGGGAAAACACCTGCCTTTCTTCATACTCATCTGGAAGAACATTTTGTTAGGATTTGGGTCCAACATGAGGAAAACATTAGCTATCGTGTTAACACAGTTTAGAGAACAGTTACAATACTCATCATGTTCTGGGGTAGTCTTACTTAGTCTGGCCCTTTTGTTGGGAAATCCAGATGTTACTAACTCAAGATGCAATCACACAGATTCCACTCTCTGAGGACAAAAACTGTTTTGATGTGTTCTGTTCCCAAATAAGTTTGTTTCTCATAAATCCTAGTTTCCTTGCTTTTAGTCTTAATAAATAATAAAGTAATAAAGAACATCTGTCCTGGAAGGCTGTACCTGTGTAGGCAGAACAGGAAACTACCTCTGTCATGTGGGTAAAATAATAATAGACTTTTAGAGCTTAGGGAGGCCTTACAAAATATTAGAGATTATCTAGAATATGCCATTTCCCTCACTATTTAATTTTAATTGTTTACAGTTAAATTAAGAACAAAAAAAGGATAATTTTTTTAAAATTTATATATTTATATAAATTTACATTTAATATATTATATAAATATTATGTATAATAAACAATATAACTATTTGTATATTATAATTTATATATTTTATATATAAATAATTGTATAAAAATACTTATATTATAATTTATATATTTTTCAATGAACAAAAATCTATTTTCTAATCTTCCCTCATTCCCTCTTTCTTTGGAAAAGAAAAAGAAAAGCCTTGTAACAAATATGCAAGTTCAAGCAAAACAAATTTTCAAAACAATTTTTTTTTTAAAATGTCTCATTCTACACCCTAAGTCTATCACCTCGCTGTCAGGAGGCAGATAAACATGCTTTATCTTTGGTCCTCTGGACTCGAGGTTGGTCATTGAGTTGATCAGAGTTCTTAAATCTTTCAGAGTGGTTCATTTAGTGCCCAAATTGTTCTGGTTCTGCTCCTTTTGCTCTACATCAGTTCATCTAAATCTTCCCAGCTTTCTCTGAAACTTTCTTCATTTTTTTGTTTCTTAGCACAGTGCCTGCTACATAGTAGGTGCTTCATAAATGTTCATTGACTGACTCATGGCATAATAGTATTCCATTATGTTCAAATACCACAATTTGTCCAATTATTTCCTAATTGATGAGCATTTCCTTTAGTTTCCAGTTCTTTACTAATATAAAAAGAACTAGTATGAGTGGCTTTATACGTTTGGATCCTTTTCTTTCTTTGATCTGTAGTCCTAACAGCGGTATTGCTGGGTCAAAAGATGTACACAGTTTAATAACTTTTTGGTTACAGTAACAAATTGCTTTCCTAAATGTCTGGACCAATTCACAGCTCCACTAATGACACATTAATGTTAATTAGGCTATGGGCAATTATTAAGGTAGTTGCTGCTACAAAACTTCAGGCAGATTGTATGAGAGTAGCATAATTACTAACCCTATGTGGCTAACTGATGAATAGGCAAAATTAGAGATTTTTAGATCTGTTTTGAGTAAGCAGATAGAACTTATTATAATTATGCTCCACATAGGTAAAATAATAAATGGGTATGAAAGGTACGTGGTAATTAGATCAACAAAGATTGCTATTTATATAACACTGTAGCCTCCAAGTTTCAATGGAGTAGCAGCAGCATCATTTTTCCACAGCCCATCCAACATTTGACATTTTCCATTTTTGTCAACTTTGCCAATTTGATGAGTGTGAGAGGAAACCTCAGAGTTCATTTAATTTGTATTTCTCTAGTAATTGATGATTTGGAACATGTTTTCATATGGCTATTATAGCTTAGTTTCTTCTGTTGAAAACTGACTATTCGTTTCCTTTGATCATTTATCAATTGGAAAAAGGCTATTATTACAAATTATAAAATACAAATTGTTAATTTGAATCAGTTTTTAAATATCTTGAAAATAAGACCTTTATCAGAGACATTTACTTTCAAAAATTTTTTCCCTGTTTACTTCCTTCCCTTCTAATTTTAGCTTCATTGGTTTTGTTTGTGCAAAACTTTTACGTAATGCATGTTGTCTATTTTATCTTTTGTGGTCCTCTCTACCCCTTATTTGATTATGAATGCTACCCCTACCATAGATCAGAAAGGTAATGGCTTCTTTGTTCCTTTAATCTATTTATGATTTCATTCTTTATATCTAAGTGCTGTTATTCATTAGAAGCTTATTTTGATATATAGTGGAAGATGTTGGTTTATAATTAGTTGCTAACAGACTGCTTTCCAGTTTTCCCAGTAGTTTTTTTTGTCAAATAGAGTTCTTTTCCAAGAGTAGAAGAGGAATTTGAGTTTATCAAATATTAGACTACTATGTTCTTTTGCTTCTGTACTTCGTGTACCTAATCTGTTCCACTGGTCACCCTCTCTATAGAAAGGCTAATTGGATTACTTGGCCAAGATCTCAAAGGCTAGTTAGTGACAGAGCCAAGATTAGAACCTTTGTGAACCAACTCCCAATTGAGTGCTCCTTCTGTTATGCTATGATGTGATTTGAAGGGTAAACACCCAACACCCCCAAATATCTCCCCTGCTCTTCCTGATTGTACTGCAGTGTTTGCCAACATTTTAAATTGCTTTTGGGGGGTGAGGTAATATATATTCAGGAAATCTTAGTGAAACTTGAATGTTATTTCCCTAGTCATTAGTACTAAGATCACATTAGCTCTACCTTTCATCTCCTAAGACAGCAATCTAGAGAAAATGAGAAAGAAGCATTTAATAAGTACCTACTATGTGCAAGGCACTTCGATAAGTACT